TCATCCCCTTTCCTCTCAGTTTGACTCCCAGAGTGAACTACAACACAGAACAAAACAAAATCAACAGCTTGCTCCAGGATTAAGGTGTAATCAATGACAAGACCAACTGGGAGCGACAGCTCATTAATTTGGTTCAGCGGCATCCCTCTGTCATCCAGGGCTTGTTGATCCAGCAAGGCTGAAAGCCCTGGGACACTGCGACAAGGTCAGATGCCTCTCGGCCTCTCTCTAAGTCTAATGCCCCAAAGTCATTTGACACTATAGTCATTTTGACTATACAGCTGGTAGAAGTTATAAAGAATAAGGGCTCAATTGAAAAGTGCATGTATCTATTTGTTGGCGAAGAAGTCATTTTTCTGGTGCTCAGTATTGTCCTGGAGTAGGGTTGATGCTGCTCAGAATGGTGCTGAGATTTGAAAACTCTGCGTGCGTGTGCGTGTGTGTGTGGGGACAGGCAGTTTCCGACTTACGACAGAGTTCCATTCCGACAACTCCATCATAAGTTGGTTCTGATGTAAATCAAGTATCTTTTTTTTTTTTTTTAGTTTTCATTATTATTGCCTTTTATTATCAGTATCTTTATAAATCCAATCTTTGTCTTTAAGGGTTGGAAACATTACATTTAAACTTACATATATTTTAATACATACAAATTACTAATGATAAGACGTACAAAAAAAACCAGACGGTCATAAGTGCAGTTCATCATAACTTGAATACATCATAAGTTGGGGACCACATACACACACACACATATATAAAATCTCATATAAACATATATGAATTGGTTTTTTTTTGTTTGTTTGCTTATAGTCACCAGAAGGCAGAAGGGAGTCTGGAAGACAGATAAGCAATGTACGCATGGCGTTTATCTATTAACTAACGTCTGTAAGTTCGTGCACTACTGCTTACTAGATGTGTGTCTTTGAACACACTGTAAAAATGAATTGAGAGGATGCCATGAGATAATGCATGTCTAACACTTAGCATACTACCTGGCACATAGCGAGTGTTCAATAAAAGTTAGCATTTATTTATGTTGTCATGATTATCATTATCAACACCATCATCACCATTATCTTTTAAATGGCAAGGTGCTGGGTTTAAGGACTTAAAGTCTAGTTGAGAAGAGAAAATATACACATGAGCACAGTAAAGAAGCAACACTTACCCCATATCTTTATTACAACACTTGTGGTTGTATGACAGTTTGTCTATTTACATTAGATTTATCTTCTTCTGGGATCTGGCAGTTCTGGGTGGCTGCTAATGTACCTTATTCAATATAATTACATAAGGCAGGTTACTTGCCTGTACAATTGTCTCTTACCTTAACTGTCCACACATCTCTGTCCCCCTGGAGACAATGAACACCTGGAGAACACAGCCTATGTGCTATCAATCTATGTACCCACTCACTTTCCCCTCCCTGGACCAGCATAACCTAGGGCATAAAGGAGTTAATCAATACATCTTTGTTAAATAAAGGAAAGAGAAAGAAAATTATATGCTGATGGCCACAGAGTAGAGAAAAAACTGCAGGATTCACTGGTCTGTTCAGTAACAGATATTTACTGAGCATCATCTACTTGCTAAGTGCTGTGCTCAGTGCTATGGGTGCCACAAGAATGTCCAAAACACAGCCTGGGACACAAACGAGCCCCCAGCTTTCGGTGTAGGCAGGTATTCTGAGAAGAAAATACAAGCTGAGGCCGAAGAAAATGAGTCCACTCTTGGCTGTTCTAATCTCCCGCAACCAGGGCTGCACTCAATGACCCAGAACTGAGAGGTATTCTCTTCCTAACCCCTATCCTCCTCCCTCCCAGCCTGCCTCCCTTGTCCTCTGTAACAAGACCCACAAGGAGGTTCCCTAAGTAGGGAGTACGGGTATCCAGAGGTGCTCAAAAATGCAACCCTACCAAAGCATGTGTGAAGTATTCTAAACATCGTTCCTTCTCAATCTCTTTTCTTTTTCTTTTCTAAATGCCATTTTAGAAAGGTGTGTGCTAAGGCATGTGCTCTTCCTTTTAAAATATTAAAATGATCAGTATCTAATATTATAGTCCAAAACCATGATGGCACAGTGGTTAAGAGCTATGGCTGCTAACCAAAAGGTCAGCAGTTCGAATCCACCAGGCACTCCTTAGAAACCCTACAGGGGCAGTTCTACTCGGTCTTATAGGGTCGCTATGAGTTGGAATCGACTCCTTAGCAACGGGTTTGGGTTTTGCTTTGTTTTGTTTTTTTGGTTTTATCGTCATTTGCAATATATGACATGGGATGTATATGGCAAATAACAACTGTGAGTGCATTAGAAAAGTACGTAAATATTTTGGGGCATTGTGTGTGTGTGTGTGAGAGAGAGAGAAAGAGAGAGGAAGGGAGGGAGAGTATATGGATATTATATATTATGTTATGTGTTATATATAAAATCACTGCCCTCAATAAAAGCAGGATAAGTCAGTTCAGCTCATATTCTGCCTGAGGCCTTCCAGGTGGATCTTCTGCCAAGGGCCCCCTACCTGGACCAAGCACTCTTTCCAGCGCTGCCACGGCAACCTGTACACAGCTGTCATGACACCTCCAAACTGTAGCATGAACATCTGGTTACTTGTCTGATGCCTTCAGTGGGCCTGATTTATCTCTGATACTTGAGTGTCTAGGGTAGTACGCAGCACATAATGGGTACTAAACACATGTATAGAAAATAGGTAAATAAATGCATGAAAGAATGAACTCATTAAATAGATAAAACTTTTTGCCTCAGTGAAATAGAGCTGGAGATTGAAAGGTCAGCAGATAATTCTTGCCAGACCTTCCTAAGCTTCAGCCCATGGAGGCTGCACCTTCAGAAGGAAGGTCAGATACCAATGAAAGGTGATGCCATTTTTTATTTCATTAACCAGCCCCCAAGATCAGAAAACCACCTTCTTCCTCCCTTTCACCCTGGGAGCATCTGTAATGATGCCCCATCAGAGAGAAAGAAGCATGATAAGCCTGAGGTTCAGCAGTCCAGGATGACTTGCTCCTCACACCTTCTAGCACGCCCTTCCCACTGCTCATGTGGAGAGTGATGACTGCTGAAGGCCTCTATCCCACTGGGACAAAACCACACAGCTTTTAATTTTCTAACATGCAGACTATATATAGTGAATGCACTGTAAAAATCAAGTTTTTTAAAAAATTTTATTTTAATCTCATATGTACATAAATTAGAGAAATCTATCAAGGAAGCATAAGCTGACTCAGAGTCACAGAAATTCTGATGAAGGGTTTCTGCATTTAAATAATACAGGAGGTGTCGGACCATTAATGCACTAAAGAATTGCACTTTTTTAAGGCTCCTACACAAATCCTCATACTTTAATTCAGTTACAGTTTCCCTGGGACAGCAAGTCTTCATAACTGACCTCCTAGTTGAGGAAGGAGATAAACAATCTAAATGCCCGACAGCAAATAAAAGAACGGGTCTGTCCTTTTCTTTGGTCAACCACAAGTCTCCTAAAACACAAGACAGTGTTCGTGTACATAGTGTCGAGCTCAGTGGAAAACAGACGTTAGGTTAAAAAGGAATTCTATGAACAATCGGCTTATGGGGTATGGTATCTTCCACTGGAGTGTCTAACCAACCTATGATCTTCCTCTTCTATGACCACTGCATTCCCCAAAAGGGGCAGGCACTGCTAAAAAATTGCTGCTAGGTAAATCTACTCCCCACCCCACTCCTCCCGAAGACAACTGCAGTCATTGCTGAATGTACACACAGACTGGAGTCTTTCTCACTAGACCGCAGCTCTGACACTGACATGCAAACTGTCAGGTGATGAAAACCCCCACTGATCTTACACGGTGGACACCCACTGGCTTTTGTCTGCCCAGAGAGCACCCTCCTTTATCTGTTAATAGTATGTAAGTTTCCCTTAGGGAATTACTTCCACTCAGTGTGAGTGTGTGTGAGTGTGTGTGTGTGTGTGTGTTGGGGGATGCTAAAGAGAAGCAATACTCAACCTACTCTGTCCTGTAGGGTTACTATGAGTCGGAATCTACTCGATGGAAACAGGTTTGGTTGTGGGTTTTATAACAAGGGCAATGACCAATCAGAATAGACTCTGGACTTGCCACCTTGCCAATGATCACTGAATATTATCCCTGGAGTTGTCCCCATGCTCTCCCAACCTCAAGGATTAGTGCATGATCCAGTCCTAAATAATACTGCCAATGCTCTCCTGGGCTTTAGTGATTGGTCTGGATGTAGGAATACAACCAACACTGGCAGAGAAGAGCCAATCAGCAGCAAAGTAAATAAAGCAGATTTTTGGAAAATAGATGGAAATAATAGGATATATAGGCCCAAAGAACAGGAGGGGAAAGAAAAGATGCCTGGATTTCTGAGGACCTTGCCGTCCTTGGATTCGGGCCTTAAGGAGCCCAACTGCATATTTTGCCCCAATATTGAGTTGCTTTGCCCCAAAGGCTATGTATCCATTCCTTCAAAAGAATATTTATTAAGCACTCTATCTGTATGTGGCAATACAGTGTGAATCCCAGAGCTATGAGTGTGAGCACACACCTGCGGGCTGCTAGTGAAATGCAGGACCACAGAAGGGAAGTGAGTGAATGATTATCGCACTGGTAGCCTGCCTGGGTTCTGCAGACCCAGAGAGGGTGCTGATTCCCTCTGCAGAGACCTCCCCTCATTCCTTTCTGCTCCAATAATCTCACAGATCAGCGGGAGCCGTGGGGACCAAAACACAGCAACACAACCTCATGTACAGTTAACAAAACGAATGGACTGTGACACAAAGAAGGAGTCCATAAAGAAGGTAAGGATCTGACTGCTTGGAGATAAACCCTAACCCACTGTTAAGGGAAATGTACAGCAAACCAAAAAAGAAAGAGGTGCAAATAACCAGCAACCTTAGAGGGGGTAAGGCATTAGAGCAAGAGCAGGCATCATGCTTAAATAAGGCAGTGATTATTAGCTCAATTTATCTACCTACCTCCAAAGCGAGCTCTCAGTGATGCTCCCCAGGTTATAGTCGTAGAGCTTTGTCAAAATGAGAATCACCTGAAGGCAAAAGAAAAAAAATCACGGTTAGTCTCAAACAATTACAATCTCTTAGAACTGAAATAGCCCAAGGGAGGATTCCTTTAACTGGTGCTTAACATAACTGAATGAATTGTTACAGCATTGCTCTGCTGAAGGGAATGGGTTTGCCAATGCCTTCCACAAGGCCACTTGGCCTTATCCCCTCCCGACTTCTCATCCTCTCATCCCACACCAAGAGTTACCTGACTACTCTGGCATTTCTCACCTAGTGGCCTTAACACTTTCAGGAAAGGCTGTCAGAGCTGTCAGATTTGCACCACACAGGGCAGCCACTAAGGAGCCCTCGTGGCACAGTGGTTAAGTGCTAGGCTGCTAAAGGAAAGGTTGGTGACTGGAACTCACCAGCCACTTCACAGGAGAAAGACATGGCAGTTTGCTTCTGTAAAGATTACAGCCTTGGAAACCCTATGGTGCAGTTCTACTCTGTCCTATAGGGTCGCTATCAGTTGGAATCGCCTCGATGACAATGAGTAGGGCGGCTACTGAGCAGAAAATAGGAAGAGAAAGTTTAGTGATCCAGTTGCCAGCCTCACCACTTACAGCTGGACCACAATGGGCAGGTTACTTAACTTCTCTGAAGCTCAGCATTCCCAGCTATTAAAGCCCATAATGCTCTTCTCTCTCTAAAGGTTGCTATGAGGAGTTAAGCAATAAAATTACCTGTCAATTAGCAAGAGGCTCTTAAATGTTAGTTCCTTCCCTTTCTCCTCTGGGGGCCTGGCTTTACCTACTTCTTCTGGTCTCCCAATTGCTAGCCATGGGACAGAAGCCACAAAGGCTAAGTAAGCAACAGCATTTTAATAGCAGCCATGCTAGGTTTCATCGAGTCCTGAAGCTTTTAGAACTTGCAGGTGCTCCATAAGAAAAAGTATACAAAATTTTGAATAAACAATTAAAACCAGATCCTGGGAATGGGCCTGTGCAATTAGGCGGCCCTGAAGCTTACATTTCATTAGCTTCATGGCAAATTCCTCCTTGGATTTTCATTTATCACTGTTTCCACCTTACTCAGAGAAACCCAAACGATTTAATTCATTCCTTCAGAATCCAACAAACCTTTATTAAGCATTTATTAGAAGCCCAAGATTTTGCCTGATGCCAGACACAAAGAAATACGGACAAGGCCTAGGAGTTTATGATCCAATTACAACAGAATGCACTCATCAAAGAAAAAGGAAGTCGATGGAGGGCCGATTTACCGGTTCTAAGTCCTACTGAAACTCAATACCCATCACAGCAGCACTGAGAAAGTGGCTTATCTAGGTGCCTGCAGAGACCACCAGGTCTACCTGGTTAGTTAAGGTACATGCACCCCAGAACACTTGGGAAGATTCAACAGAGCAGTGTGTTCCCCACCACTGAATTCCCACTCCTTACTCGTTCCTCTTATATAAGGAAAGAACCTAATGGATCTGCTCCACTTACTGATGTGGTTTATATTTTTCTCCTGATACTCATAACCTAGAACATTTGGCCCGGTTGCTTCTGACTCAGCAGAAAAATGTTGACATCAATTTCCTGGTCTTTTCTCGGAAGGCCCAGGGATCAGTTCTAGCCACAGTGAGTGCAGAACATCCTAATCTTGAATTCCAAGGCAGCGAGCTGCAGAACCCTTCCAAGCACTGCTCTGCCACCACAGGGCTTGATTTACTGAATTTGCAAGCATCAATGAGCAGATTCTTAACACTGCCTTCATAGCAAGCAAACTGGAACTCCATGACCTCAGATTTGTTCCAAGTTCAAGGAAATGGAGAACTACAACGGCCGCAAGACAAAGATAGAGATCCCTGAGGTCCTGTCCTCAAAGGCCACCCATCTCCTAAACCACAGCACAAGTTTCCTCAAAGGATCTGATCAAAACTTGATTCTATAGCAAAACGTGAGCATGTGTGAGGTGCAGGGCACCCTATGGACACATCAGATGGCATGCCTGCGGTGGGGGCATATGCTTAGCAGATCCGCTTGCCAATTAAGTCACTCTAAGTGCTAAATTTCAATCACTGCCATCCCAGGAACACTGATCAGTGGCAGCAGGGTGGCAGTTTGTTTGAAGGCACAGAACGATGTTGCTACTCCACCTTGGTGCGATTTTGCCGAACAGGTCTATAAATCCCCCACCAAGAAAATGGGAGTGTGGGCATAAAGATTTCTAGGTAGTTGCTCTCCTGATACAATACAGCAGTAAACTAAATAACAAAGTTCAGCTGGTCACAGGCCGTGTCTCCCATTCATCTGAGGAGGGAATTCAGAGCAGTGGAGAAGAAACCCTTTAACCCAGCGTGTAATGGTGTGGAGCCGCGGGCGCATGCACGCAGAAATTGTTTAACCAATTCCTAGGGCAGGTGGGAAGGGAAGTAAAAACCCGCTCCTTGCTCCTTCTTGCTGGGCTACTAAAACGAAAATGCCAGTGATACACTCAAGCAGTTTATCAATACTGAGCAGAAGAGGCGTCCTTTTGGCATTTCAAAGCATATCTGCTTGGATCAATCTATTTAAGCTCTCTGTTTCCAGAACGGGAGCAAGAAAGAAGGGAGGACTGCTAACCTTTAGTTAGGTTTTCAGTCAATTATTTGAGATAGCTCCCTCATTTTTCACCTTTACTGTCAGATGCATTGTTTACCACCTACTCCTGGATAGTGGTGAGTCATTATATTAGTTCTGTTTCGTTGGTGGCTTTTCTGCTCCGGTTAATTAACAATCCTATTCAACAGAATTAGCACCTGTTAAAGAGGCCTGGCCACAGCCAAATGCAGCTACAGCACTCGGGTATGACTACTAGCAAATGAGACAAAGGGAAAAATGCAATGGCCTATTCTGCTCTTATCATGTATTACTTTTGTGTGGTTTCCAAACTTTTGAAAACTCAGTGGAGCTTTTTTATGAAGTGGTATTGTATATGTGATACATAAGTGGCATTTTATTTTCATTTGTTCAGTAACAATTTTCATGTACAGATTTAGCCTTGAGTTCAAGTTTATAGCATTTAGGTATAAAGTCCATCATTGAGAACAAGGCTGTTTTGATGAACACATACACATGCGCAAACACACACATATAACGGGATATCCATCAGCATCTCAATTTATTTCTGTATCTTGGTTTCATTATATAGTATCAAAATATCCCTAATTCACAACAATAAGCAGTGGCCATATAGTAATAATTTAGGTTCTTCTCTAAATCTTAGGATGCTATCTTTAAATAGCTATAACACAAATATTTATGGCTCAACAATTCCTGCCTACATTGTAACAGAACCTCAGCATCCCATTATTTACGGGACTTTCCAAAGTGACGTGTCCCAGGTACCCCCCAAGCCAGTCTAGCTGCTGGTATCACCACATGACATCAATCCTGCTCTTTTTCTGTGGCTCCTTCTGGTCATATCCGCTGCTTCTGGAAGGAACTCCATTGTCCATTCTTATAAAGAGAATGCGGATACCCACTCACCAAGTTGCTGTTCTCAAATCGTCCACTCCTTGGAGAGAAGGAGGGTTCTAGAAACAGTGCCAGGTTCTGTGCAGGGTCTGTGAGGGAGTGAGGAAGGGCTTCCTCCCCAGCTCTGAGCCAAATTTTCATCACCTGGGCTCCAAAATAATCACCCCTTTGCCCAAGGATTTCCAAAGCTCCTACTGAATAATTCCACCGACTTCAGCCTCTTGCACTCCTCTCTACATAAGGGGTGAGAAACCATCACAAAAGACCCTGTGGAAGGAAGACAACTAGTAACTCTACCCTTTGTCCAACCCAAACTCTCATCTGTACTTGGTTACAAAACAAAAGCATTCATGTAGATTAAAAAAAAAAACAAAACAAACCTGTTGCCCTCGAGTTGATTCCAAATCATAGCGACCTATAGGACAGAAGAGAACTGCCCCATAGGGTTTCCAAGTAGCACATGGTGGATCTGAACTGCCCACATTTCGGCTAACAGCTGTAGGTCTTAACCACTACACCAACAATAGACACTATATGTGGATAACTAATAAAGAGTGTTCTAGTGTAAATTAGAAAAAGCCAGTCAAAAATGTTCCATTATATCAAAATGGCAGGGTAAGCTTTACTTCAAGGTATGTGTTAAAATGAATTAACCTGGCAGCAGCATAAATTAATACATTGACAACCTCTATTATGCCAGTTATTAGTCATGTAACGCCTTTTAGTGTGACAGCGTGTTTTTTAAATTAACACAGAAACATTATTTAGAAATGAAACCTACACCAAACATTTAAGGAATCGCTATAACACTTGCAGGTAACCTGGTGCTACAGAACATACTTTTGACAACTTCTGTATTAATTACTACAATGCCTAGAACCACAATTTGTTCCACACTCTCTAAGCAGCAGCATAGGAATTCTCCCATTTCTTTTCTGAAGAAAAAACATAGTGTCTTCCCCCTTTCTTGTAGTGCATTAAAGAATTCACCCCCATGGGAGGGAATGGAAGGATGGTGGTTCCACACAGTTGCCCCTCCTCTCATTCCCAAGAAGGAATGCACATATTCCCCTATGAGTGGTCCCTCTAGTTTTTATTGCTCAGAGACAGCAACCTGGTTTGAAGGCCAAGGACTAATAAGAATCTTCCTTGAAGGCTAAGTTTGTCTAGCAAGCTTATTATTTTGCTTAAACTATGAATTTAGGGAACTAATGGAAACTTAAGAAGATTCAAGTTCTAGAAGGATACTTGGTCCGGCCACTGCTTGTTACCTCATCTCACCTTCACCTCAGGGAAATCTCAGAAAACTGGGACATGTCTCCTGATTTTTCAATTATTAATGATTTGCATTCTTTTTCTCTCACTCAGTGGCTAACTGTGAAAGTGGAATTGAATCTCAAGGGGATCAAAAGTGTGGTCTTAGCCTCCACGACAGTGAAGTGAGGAGTTTGGGCTACAAGTTCCCTGATGGCCAAATTCTGAATAATGGTGACAGGGGTCCTACTCTCTAAAACAAGACA